TTTTTTTTTTTTGGAGACAGGTTCTCACTACTCTGTTCCCCAGGCTAGAGTGCCATGGCATCATCATAGCTCACAGCAACCTCAACTGCCTGGGCTCAAGAGATCCTCCTGCCTCAGTCTCCCAAGTAGCTGGGACTCTACACATGCACCCCCATGCTCTATTAATCATTTTAGGTGTACAGCTTGGTGGCATTAAGTACATACAAAATTGTTTGCAACCATCACCACCATCCATCTCCATGGGAGGGGATGTTTTTAATTTTGCAGCTTTCTTTTTTTCTTTTTTCTTTTTTTTAGAGGCAGAGTCTTACTTTGTCATCCTCAGTAGAGTTCTGTGGTGTCACAGCTCACAGCAACTTCCAGCTCTTGGGCTTAGGCAATTCTCTTGCCTCAGCCTTCTGATTAGCAGGGACTACAGGTGCCCACCACAACACCCGGTTATTTTTTGTTGTAGTTTGGCTGGGGCTGAGCTTGAACTCGCCACCCTCAGTATATGGGGCCAGTGGCCTACCCATTGACCCATAGGCGCTGCCCTAATTTTGTAGCTTTCTTAAGCCCTCTACTCACATATTAGACCGCTCCTAGATCAAAAATGATGAACTATGACAATGTGAAATGTGGTTTGCATCTTTTTGAGTTTTGCTCTCTTTAGGACCATAGTTTCTATCCCATCTATATCTTTTTCCAGTAATGAGCCTTCTGAGAGTTTTTGCTTCCCTCTTCATGCCTTTAACCTCTTAAATGGAGCCTCTCCTAGACCAAGCAGCCTCCAAGGACGACCTTTGTTCTGGTGTTTGTCCTGTTCACACGGACCATACTTGCCACTGGCTATGCCAGTTGATGTATTAATTAGGGTCACGCTGCTTAAGTGTGTTAACAGTGACTCAGCTATAAATGCTGGAATTCACAGTTTATTGCTAGTCCTTCACACACCACAAGTCATGCAATTATATTAATAAAGGGGGGTAATGAACTGCAGCTGTGGCTCAAGAAACCAATGTGTCTACCTGTCAAGAGGGGAAGGCTGCAGATACCAAAAGCCTCAGAGTTCTTCTGCACAGAACCTCTGAAGACACCTTGAACAAGGCTGGGTCCTGGCTGCTTTGATGATCCTTATTCTTGCCTTTAGGTGATAGCAGCTGCTGTTACCTTAGTCCATGCTGTTACATGACATGCATGTTTGTTACTTGGGGAGGACAAACAGCTTTGAGGGGTTAGGATTACAAATTACTACAATATATCAATGCCCCTGGTCATTTCCTTTCCCCTCAAGGCTGCATCTTAGTGGTTCATGTCTCCTGGGTCTCCAAATCTTCCCTCCCACATGGAGAAGTACCCTCAGCACCTCCACTTGCTGGTACCCACTTACTCTCAACACTCAGTGTGTATTTTCAGCAAGAGGAAGTGGTGGTGGTTCCTTATGGCAGAGGCTCAGAGGGAAAGCTGCTCCCTAAGGGAGAAAGAAGTGGTAACTCGGTAGCTTTCATATGGAGTTGTTTTGGGAGGTGGAGGAGGAGCTGGAAAGAAAGAGACTAGGAAGAATGGGAAAAGGGAGGGACAGGAGGCTAGGCTCCTTAACAATCTGGGCAGAAGGAGGGCAAACGTCTTTGCTATAAGCAACAGCAGCAAAATAATTCCTGGAAATGTACTTTTTCTGCTCCCCCCACCTCCCGCCCGCCGCCACATTTTTTACCCCAAAGTGTAGATAAAACATTGTGATCAACAGTCAGAGAGGAAGGAAGGCATAGGGAGGAGGGATTCAGAGGCACAGATAGAGGCAGGCAGCTTCCCAGGGGTGGGTCTTGGCTTTGGAGGAAGGAGGGGTGGGCAGGTGTCTTAGGAAAAGGTCAGGCTGAGGATTGTGGCAGTGATTGTACTTCCTTCCCAGTACGAGCTTCCAAGAAGGTCACTGAGTAAAGAAGCCAAGTCTGGCCGTGGTCATCACTCTGCCTTCCTGCAACAGCTTCCCCAAGCTAGAAAGGCAGCCTATCTGCTCAGCAGCACCAGGCAAGGACCTCCTCAGGCTCCCCAAAGAAGGATATGGCCTGCTCCCCCGTCCTTGGCTTTCTCTGCTTAGCTCTTCCCTGCTCCCCACCCTTTACAAGACATAGTGGAGATAACACCAGTTTGGGGATCAGACCTATCTGTGACATGCCATCCCACCACTCAGTAGCCAGGTCACCTTGGGCAAGTCATGTAAGTTTTCTGAGTCTCTATTTCCTTATGTGTAAAATGAGGATAATGCTGCCTGCCTGACAAGGTTATTATATGGGATATGTGAGATAATATACATAAAGTACATGGCACTAGCATGCCATTTTCCCACTTTGGGGGGAAAAGAAAGAAAAAATTCCCTCTTGTGGAATTAATATTGAGAAACATCTTGAGTCCCACCATCACTAGCCATTTTTCTCTCAGAATTGGATCAACATCAGCTTCCTTTTTCATTTTGTTGTCTGGAGTTGTATTTTTTACAAAGAAGGGTGAGAACATTCCCAAATGCCATTATGAGTTACCACAGAAGAGCTGTAGTAATAGTAACAACTAACATTATCAATGACTCGCCATTTGACAGACGTGGTTGAAAGGGGCTTTCTTTACACGTGTTACCTCACCTAATCCTTATTACAGCTTAACAAGGTGGGTTTTATATAGACAAGGAAATTGAGGTGCAGAACAGTTAAATAATCTGCCCAAGTCAGGCTGCTAGTAATTTGATAAGCCCATAAGGATTCTTGACCTGGATTCCTTACCCTAATGGCTTTAGGTGTGAACTCCCTAAAAGGTAGATGCAAAATTTCATGGTTATGTTATGTGCATTTCTATGGAGGCTTTGAGACTAGCCTTCCTTAGATTCTCAAAGGGCCCCACGCTATCCAGATGAAAAGAAGACCACCCTTGAAGAGCTTCTCATGGATAAAAATGCCAGGCTGAGCATCCACTTCTGTGGAGGCCACACAGCCTGGGAATTCTGGGAAATTCCCTGAGTGAGGGAGGAAGATTCTCCTTCCTGGAGCCTGAGGGATATACAGGACCATCTGGGGCAGGGTTTGAGAAGGGGAAGGCCTCCCACCTCCCATCTTTCCACAAGATAAATGACAACTGTTTCCTCTGTGATTTCTCAAGAGTGGAGGAAGGAAGAGCAAGCTTGGAAAGACTGGTAAGAGACTGGGAGGGCCCCAGATACAGGTCCTGGTCCCCACCCGACACCACCAGCAACTCCACATGCCTCCACTCTTCCCCTCTCCTCAGTCTCCTGTCCCTCCCTGGCTTCTGTTGCTCCCTCAGAACCTCGCGCCCCCCTGCCCCCTCCATGATCCCCTGCAACCCCCAGCCACTCCATCGGTATGTGGCAACAGTCTCCTACTGATTCCAATTTCTTACATTTTTGTTAACTTTAGTTGAACACCTGATGTATACAGGACAGAAATTCTCTGGTGCTGCCTCAGGCCTCAACTTCCTAAATTTTCATCCTTTTGATAAAGACATATAATTCTTAAACTCTCCAAAAGTTGATGTTGGAAGGACCTGCTAAAGTCTTCTTGATTCTCCTCCTTCATTACGAAGATGAGAAAAACGGAGGCATCATGAAATCTCACGTTGTCAGACAAGGTGAGGAATATGGATGAAAATGGAAAATGATGTCATCTACTTTGACATTCATTCACTTCTGCAAGATGCTAGCACTGTCAGGGCCTGGAGACACAAAAAGGTGGGACTCGTTCATTGCCTGCCCTCGAGGGGCTCCGAGTCCATCAGCGGACTAGTGAATGTGAGAGTCCATCTAGTGTTTGCCACACTCAAGGCATCCTCCATGTTGCTTCATTAAAATAAACCATTGCTTTAGGCTTAAACTGGACCTTCTGGATTTCTATCTTTCTTCTTCCCCCCAAAAGACAGTGATTATTAAGCCATTTTGTAGTTCCCAGGGGAAGGAGTTTGAGAAGTTAGGGCTTGCCTCCAGGGATCCTCTCCAAGACCTGGATTGGTTAAGTCCCTGATTTCTGCTATCACCTCCTAATGGACACAAACCACATGCTTACTACATAGCTCCACCTGGTCACAACTCAAAGGCCTTGGCATGGTGGGGAAAGGACCACATTGACAAAGAAGCGCATGCCCCCCTACCTCTTTTCCTGGGGTGTCAGGGGAAGTCCGATGGGACTGGAGCGTGATCCAGAGGAAAGTGCCCTCACTCTTTCCCTTTGCTGTCCCGGCCCTTTCTGAGGAGCAGAGAGGGCCAGTGGCTTCCTCTTCCTGCCTTCCAGATCTTTGATTCCTGCAAGAACAGGGTGTTTTATTTATTTATTTATTATTTTATTTTATTTTATTTTGAGACAGAGTCTCACTATGTCGCCCTGGGTAGAGTGCCATGGTGTCACAGCTCACAGCAATCTCTAACTCTTGGGCTTAAGCTCTTCTCTTGTCTCAGCCTCCCAAGTAGCTGTGACTGCAGGCACCTGCCATAATGCCCAGCTATTTTCTTGTTGCAGTTGTCAGTGTTGTTTAGCTGGCCATAGCCGGGCTGGAATCCACCAGCCTTGGTGCATGTGACTGGCTCTGTAACCACTGTGCTACCAGCACCAACCCTGGGTGTCTTTTTTAGTTATGTGTTTCTATTCTTGGCTTACAAGGGCACTGCATGCCCTGTAGGGACAGAAACAGGCTTGTGTAATTAACATTTAATCCAGTTCCTTACCAGCCAACACTCTTGGAGGACACATGTAGGAGGCTATGGGAGAGAGTGGACACTGTGGGGACTGTCTGCATCCAGGGGCCATCCCTGGCCAACACACATGCCCAGACAGCCCTACCACCAACTACCCACCAGGGGGTGCATGGCTCTTTTCTAAGTTCTACAGGAAACCTCTCCTTCCTGATCTGGGCAATATACCCTTCTTCTCTTAATTAGTGGACAGAATTTTGGGTAAAGGAGAGAAGCCCAGGGCAGTGAAACCATGGCTCCTTCTGTCCTTGCCTCATTCCCTTAACTCCCTGCACCTCTGCATCCCAGTCCTCTGTTATGCAGTGCTGTCCTTGACCTCACTGTGACAGCCCCTTCAAGGACTGCAGGTATGAAGTCCAGGTTCTGGCCACCTTTAGTCTCCACAGGGGAAGCTTCTTCCTATCCATAAGCACTCTGATATAAACTGAACTCATGCATTTCCAGTTAGGGTTTACAAACTTCCGTGCTTGGGAGAGGATTAGGACATACTATCCCTAGCATACTTGTTCAGCTGAATCTTTTGAGTTTAGACGTTCAGTGTCTGAGGGGTCTGGTTTAGGATATGTGACCTGGCAGGGGATGTCCCTGAGCTGGAGGACTGAGGGCCCTGTACCCAGTGCCCATGGCTGGGGAAAAGTCACCTTCAAGAGTGGAAGGGTAAACGCTGTGACACCTGCTTTGTGTCAGTCATTCCACTCCTCCCTCCCTACAACTGTGAAGTCTGTGTCCTGTGAGTTCCCAGCCCCATCTCTTTCTCCTCCCTTCCTTGCCGCTAAGGTCTGACTACTCAAACTATTCCTGTCCACTATTTTTTGTGGGGAGAGAGTCTCACTTTGTTGCCCCAGGGCACAGTGCCATGGCATCATAGCTTACAGCAACCTCAAATTCTTGGGCTCAAGAGATTCTCTTGCCTCAGCCTCCAGAGTAGCTGGAGACTACAGATGCCACCAACAGTGTCCAGCTAATTTTATATTTTAGTAGAGATGGGGTCTTACTCTTGCTCAGGCTGGTCTTGAACTCCTGAGCTGAAGCAATCTGTCCACCTGGGCCTCCCAGAGTGCTAGGATTACAGGTATGAGCGACTGGGCCCATCCTGCCTATCCACTTTTGGTGCTGTCTCACTCAAATCTAGAGACTGACTGTGACTTGGTTTCTGAGCGACTCTGGGTGCCACATAGATGTGGAAACCCAGGCCCAGAAAAGGCTGGCAACCTAAGGTGTCTTGAGTCTGAGAGCCGCTTCCCGGCACGGCCTTCTCTGCTCAGCCCAGCAGTGTTGGTCCCAGGATGTGCAGAGGCAGTTCTCACCCCTGAGTGTAGATGGGGTGGTAGAGTGTCATCATGTGCAGGGGTGTGCTGGTGTGGACACCTGCGTGGACACCTGTGTGGGCACAGCAGGGCAGAGAGACATCGGTGGGGCAGGGAAGCATTGCTGAGTAGTGGTATTTTCTACAGGGCAGGACTGGAGCTTTCCATGGGCGCGTGCCAGCGTGTGCAAAGCAGGACCAAAGGGCAGGGAGGTGGGGCAGAATGTGAGGCCTCCATGCCAGAGCGCCTGGAGGCTGGTCTCCCAACCCCCACCCTCTGTGTTCTTAAGTCCTCCTGTCTGAACTCAGGCCACACTCTCCTTACACC